GTGGTTCTTCTCCTTTATTTTATTTACGTGGTGGATGACGTTGATTGTTTTTCTAATGTTGAACCATCCCTGCATACCTGATATGAACCCGACTTGGTCATGATGAATGATTTTCTTGATATGTTGTTGCAGTCTATTGGCTAGGATTTTGTTTTAATCTTTTTTTCTTTTCTTATCTTTTTAGTGACCTCTTGTTTTCTTCTTGATGTCATCCCATAGTTCTTCTGATTTTCAGTCATTGGTGTTCAATGCATCAAATCTGTTCTTTAGATGATCTCTAAATTCAGGAGGGATATATTCAAGATCATATTTTGGGGGTGATACTGTGCAAATAAGATGTATGAAATCCGAATGTGAGGATTAGTCAGTTTTGCCATCTTGCTAGTCTTAAAATGAGTCATCCCAGAGGTGAAAAAGCGGGATCACATTACCATCAAGACAGAAAGAGCCAGGAGTGGAGTGCATCCTTGGACCTGAGATTCCTGTACTGAGACCAGCAGAGAGATGACAGAAAGACACCGGCAACAGAGGCAGCAGAACAAAGAGACCAGCAGGAGACAAGGCAGTGGGCTTGCCTGTCCACAGGGAGAGAAAGTGAGTGCCTTCGGGCAGGAGGTTTGCTGGCAGAGTGGGGTGCACCTATCAGCAGAGCTACAAAAAGGCTTTGTAAAACTTGCTTGACTAGGGCAGAGGCCAGGCTGAGAAGTCAAGGGCCAAAGAGAGGCATGCCTACAGTCATGGCTGAGGGGAGCCTGTTCTGATTGAAGAATTATATCCTGAGCATTTCTAAACATGAATTATGAACTGTTACTTCCCTAATAAACCCCATAATTGTGAGTATTGTCTGTGAGTTTTGTATGGCCATTGCAGTGAATTATTGAACCTAGCAGAGAAGTAGAGAGTGCCATGGGAGGGACAGTTGGTGTCAGAATTGGTAAAAAGTTTGGAGGGTGGTGGCATGTCTGATGTCTGCCTCATAAGAATAAGTCTTGGGCTAATGCCTATTGTTGGTGATTCTCTCCCCACTTCATGAAGTTAGAGGAGGTCAGAAGATGGTACCCAATGCCGTTTTTGTACTCTGAAACACTGGGGTTTTTTCCTCTTGTTTTGTCATATGGGAATCCAGTCAACAGAAGATCAACCACAATAGAAAATTGTAATTTATAAGTAACTTATAGTTATCTCCATAATCATCATCCCTGATGTCAGCCTATCAACTACTATTAAGTCAATTCTGTCTCAAGGCTACCCCATGTGTGTCAGGGTAAAACTGTGCTCTGTAAGGTTTTCAATGGCTGGCTTTTCTGAAGTAAATAACCAGGCCTTTCTTCTGAGGTGTCTCTGGGTAGACTTGAACCTCCAACCTTTCTGTTAATAGCAAGCACATTAACTTTTTGTACCATCCAGGGACTCAGATGTCAGCCCAGACATTTATCAATCCTAAGACACAAACAATCAAGTTTGTGGAACTCACTGGAGCAGCCCAAAGTGGCTAATGAAGAACTTGATCCTCAGAAAGAGGGTGAAATCACTTGCAGAAGTTTTCCTCTGGGAGTGCTTGCTCCAGCCTTCAGGGGCTACCGTGCACAGTCTGGTTTCATTGTCCAGGAAAAAGAACTCTTCACCTGAAATGGAAATCATGAGTTTGGGGAGGGAGAAGCAATCAGACAGATGCTGCCCCTGAGCCCAGAATCAGAGGGTTAGACATAAGTCATCTTCTGTGCAGGGGAGAATGGGAAGCAAGTGTTTTGGGAACTGGTACCCCCTGGACTTTTGCTGGTTTGTGAGAGAACCAGTGGGAGAGAAAAAGAGGTGAAGGTCAAGGAGGAGAAACTGGGCACTGAGAGGAGAAGATATGATTATTTAGTTTAGAGAAGATTTCACTTACTATCTGCCTTCCAGCTATCATCTTGCAGAGGTAAAATAAGAAGGAAAAAAAAAAAAATCAAAGGAAGGCATATTTACTATGTTCCTGCCAAGTATCACACTTTTTCTACATCAATCAGAACATCTTTAGGCCTCCCCAATCTGGGACGTAAGTAGAGTTGCATTTACCCTTCAACCTGAATTTTTCCAGCTTAAGAACTCCACTAACAGATGCTCAGACCTTTAGCTCCTATTGTTTCCTCTCAGGCATCTTGGGAGAGAGCCTGAATTGGCCCTAGACACTGAATGTACCACCTCCACCCCTCTGCTCTCTTCAAGTCAAAGTCAAGCCCTTCCAATCCTGTCCTGGGCCCCCCGGGCCATTCCATCAGACCACTGCAAGTTTTCATAGGCCCTACTCTGTTCCACTTGAGTAGGGGAGTGATCTTGAGTTTTTGAAGGCAGAGCTTTTAATTAGGGAGCCAGTTTTTCCTCCCAAAGGCATGTACATGCGGGGATGGTGGGAATGGAGGGTCCACTAGAATGGTTTTAATAGGAATGACTGCACAGTGCTCAAACCTCTGCCTGCTCTGCCCTGCAGACATTGTTGATGGATCTGATCCCCACACTACCCCCCAGGCTCACCCTTCCTTAAGGGCATTTCTCCCTCAAGAGATGGGAAATTCCTGTTAGACTTTGTAAATCCTTCCCAGGTTAGTTTATACACAAACCTCAGATGTGCTCATTTTTCAGTTATTTTTCCCTGGTGGTTCTCAGCTAAGCAACTCTAGAATGTCTGCATGGGAAGAGTTTCAGAGTGGCCCCTGGTTGGAAGGAGGCAGGTAGTGGACAAGCCGTAAGGTTGTATGCACAGAGAAAGCATGCTGTTTTACTTAGATTGCCTGCTACTGACCAACAAAAGCACAGTATTTTCTAAAGATCCTTTATTCACACTTTACAAAAGATTGTGCAAATATTCAGTTGAACACACCAAAGTTCATTATGTTGTTATCTTTATTTGGAGGAGTCTTCTGGTAGTCTGATAAAGCCTACAGGGAGATAAGGACATTCTCTTCCTGCCACCACAAGGCACATCAAATGATAACACACAAGCTCCTGAGATTCACATTATGATCTCCAATTAGGGATGGGAGTATGGAGGATGATAAGATTACAATACGTAAGAAAGGTGGCTGGTAGAGCCAGGATTTAAACTGAAGACGTATCTGCTCCTAATTCAGCCTCTTCACTATGACTCCACATAGCAGTTAAAGAGCTGCAGGAGTAGCCAAGGAGTATTTGAGGGAGATGAGAATACCAGATACTGTTGAGTCAATCCAACTCATAGTGACTGAATGTGTGTCAGAGTAGAATTGTGCTCTATAGGATTTTTTTCCAGTTCAAAGTCATTTCCCTTTTATTAAGGTCAAAGTTACCATTACATGGTTTGATACTCAATAAAGGAGAACTTGTTCAAATAAGGTATCATGTTATCAGGTGGCGTAGTGCCTAAGGCATTTGACTGCTAACCAGAAGGCTGGCAGTTCAAATCCACCAGCCACTCCTCGGAAGGAAGGTTGGGCAATCTACTTCCATAGTGATACTGCCTTGGAAACCCAAGGAGAGGTTGCTATGAGTTGAAATAGACTCCATGGCAGTGAATTTGGTTTGGTTTAGTTTATTTATGATCAAAGGAGCTCTAGTGGCATAGTGGGTAAGGCATTTATATGCTGACTAGAAAGGCAGTGGTTCTTTCTGCAGGAGAAAGATAAGGCAATCTACTTCTGTAAATATTTACAGCCTGGGAAACCCAATGGGGATTGCTGTGAGTCAGAATAGACTTGGTGGCAGTGGGTTGGATTTACAATCATGTAGCAATACCAATAAATCCTTGGGAAGCTCATCCACAGGAGTTTATACTTTGCCAAGGCCCAGTTCCTCTGGGGTAGAGATTCTCAATTTATACAGAATTGTTCCAAGTTCCTGGATAACATAGTGTTCAATTTCATTATGAAGTCCTGCTTTGGCTTTAACAACACTAGAAAGTTTGTTTAACCATTTGGATGCCTGCAAATCAGCATAGAGAACCAGATCACAGCCAATAAACATTTTCATCCCTTTATGTAATTCCCAGGTATTGATATTTGGCTTGTTCAAGTATGTCACCCAGGAAGCATCAAACTCATCATTTGTTTCATGAGATCCATGGAGTAGCAGTGAACTAACTGGGCAACAGCAGAGGGGCAGGGAGGAAGTAAAGGGATGTAGAAGGCCTAGAGGACAGGCTCCAGGGGATCAGCTGCAGCACAGCAGCAGAGAACAGTACCCAGCAACACAGAATGCAAGCTAAGGATGAATTTTCAATGATTGATTTTTCAGAAGTAGACCACCAGGCCCTTCTTCCTAGGAGCCTCTGGGTGGACCCCAACAGCCAACTTTCCATATAGCAGCCATGTATGTAAATGTTTGTACTACCCAAGGCCTCTAGATGGGAATAAGGAGTCCCTTGAAGGAAGGGCCAAGATGGGAAGAAGGTATAGAAATGCTTTCCCTCAGAATCTTCAGAATGAGTTCTTAGGTGAAGGGTAGTGGTGAAAGATTTCTCATTAATCCTATGTGATTAGATGAAAACATTCTTAGTATTTGCTTCCCTGTCTTCAATGCACTGGGATTGGTCAACCAGAGCCAGTAAGTACAACATCCCACACCCAGTATTTTATTATAACCTTTTGTACTTACCTAATGCCTTACATACAGCTCTGGTAGCATAGTGCCTAAGGCACTTGACTGCTAACCAGAAGGCTGGTGGTTCAAACGCACCAGCCACTCCTCGGAAGGAAGATGGGGCAATCTACTTCCATGTGATACTGCCTCAGAAACCCAAGGAGGGGTTGCTATGAGTTGGATCCAACTCGACGGCACATAACAACAACAACGCCTTACACATGAGCACTTGATGCCTTCACCATGCTAACTAATGTTCAAGTGTGCAAAGTAAGGCATCTTAACCTAAATCAGCTTTTCCAGAGAAAATAGAACACAATTACTCAGACACCTGGGTTACCAGAGGCAACCATTTCACATGCAGACTGCCCAAGAGACACTTACCTTTCAGGTAAGCCAAGCCAAAGTAGGTGAGCTCCCCAAGGTTGGCAAAGGACATGATGGTATTAAAGATAGCACCTGCTGTTGACTCAATGTCACACTTCACCTCCAAACACTGCCCACTCAGCAGGACCACACGGAGGTCCCTGAGAGCCAAATAGCATTTCCCTTTCTTGGTCTGAAATAATAATAACAGTCTCAATTATAACAATAACCATGAGATTTTGAGCACTTGCTGTATGCAAGAGAAAAGTGTGCTTATTTTTCCCATTCAGGAGTTGAGAAACTGAGACTCAGAAATGACAAGGACTTGCCCATGGTTGCTCAGTTAGTAAGAGGCAAAGCCTGGCCTCAAATCCCCACTGTCTGCCAGGTTTCACAGGTTCCAGTAAGGCTTGGAACCAGCTCTAACTGGTATCTTTCCCTCTGCAGAAATATCACTGGCCTCAGGCTGAGCTCCATGAAAGCCTGCCCAAGGTCCTTATCAGTGGCTCCTACCACCTCTGGGGTGTTGGTCAACCTAATACTGTCCTCCACCTCTGCAGAGCACAGGTTAGTGAATTCTAAATTGCAAGAGAATTTTGGCAGGCACAGATGAGAAAGGGTTGGAGCCAAAAGGATTACTTGTCATTATTATTATTAGTTGTTGTCAAGTCAGCTCTGACTCATGGCAAGCCCATATACAACAGAACAAAGCATTGCCTGGTACTGCACCATCTTTAACGTTGTTGTATGTTTGAGTCTGTTGTGTTCTGTCAATCCAGTAAGGCTTTCCTTACTTTCACTGGCCCTCCACTTTACCAAACACAACATTCTTCCCCAGTGATCAGTCTTTCTTAATGATGTTTCCAAAGTAAGTGAATGAAAGTCTCAGACAACAGTCTGTGATCCATAGAGTTTCACTGACTAATTTTCAGAAGTAGATCACCAGGCCTTTCTTCCCAGTCCATCTTAGTCTGGAAGGTCCCCTGAAACCTGTCCACCATGGGTGACCCTAATGGTATTTGATATAGCAGTGGCATAGCACCCAGCATCGTAACAATATGCAAGCTACCATAATATAACAAACTGACAGTTGGGCGAACAACTGACAGACAGGAATTACTTGGATCTAGAAAATCGGTCAGCAGGGCCACATCCAAAGACACTTACTAGAACTTACAGCCTACCTTCTGTCTTGTCCCGCTCCTCACATTGCTACCAGACTCATCTCCCCGACAGCCCCCATTGCCCTCCACTCAATCCTCCCAGACCTCCAGGGTAAGTCCTCACTAAACAACAGCAATGGATGGACACTGGCAAATGAGCTTTAATATAATCAAGACCCGTAGCCACTCCTGACCTTTCTGGCATCCAAGGGCAGTCTCCATGCTCCTGAGGTCAGTGTAGATCTGAGGACACCATAGAAAGGTGTTTCCCCAACCATAATGGGAGCAGGTGATTATAGGGGCACACTCTGAGCCTCCCAGTTCCCATTCCTGCTGCAGTGGGGAACCACCACCAGAAGATGATCTGATGATCTGATAGGTCTAGGGCAAATCTGTGCAGGTGATTCGTATGAGCAGTCTGAGTTGAGAAATCCTATGCTAATAGGAGGCCAGGCTACCAGCACAATCACATAGGGCCCTACAGTTAGGGGGTAATGTCCTGTGGTCACCATCTTGAAATTCTTAATAGTCTTTTTTTTTTTTTCTTTTTTTTTTTTTTATCTATGTTTTATAAGTGAAGTCCAGGACAGTGGAGCTCTTGCATGGTCCTGCCTCTCACACCTCTCCACTTCTCTGGGATGAGGTCTTGGCTGCTAGTTCTTCTTCTCCGTGGTGCCCCAGGTCCCACCTATCTCCTTCTTCCCATCATCCCACGACCACTAGTTTCTGAGTCCTAACTCAGACATTTGCTCTTCCTGCTTCCTCTACTTGGATATTCTCCACACATGGCTCACTCTTCTCTTCATTACAGTCTGTGCTCAGATAGCACCTCCTGTTAGCAGTCTTCCCCTGGCCTCCATCTCTAACAGAACACACTCCTTCCTTCCCACATTAACCATTCCTCATCTCTATAGCTCATATTACTACCTGGCATAATTTTATCTTTGCATATTTGTTTATTTTTGGTCCTTCCCTGCTAGCATATAAGCTTCACATGAAAAGGACTTTGTTTTGTTCATGTCATAGATACAGAGCATAGGATGGCATCTGGCACATACAAGATGCTTAGCAAACATCTCCTGACCAAGGAGGTGAAGACTGAGCTGAGTCTGGAAGGATAAGCAAGATTTAGCCAGAAGCTGGATAATTCCTCATTCTTAAAGAAGAGGGAAGTGATGGAGGTGAACCAGGAGTCATGTAATCAGACCACTCCGGTGGGATCTGGAGGAGAGAGTACATGCCCCCCAGGCCAAGAGCAGAGCATTCCCTCCCTATGCCAGTCTGAAGTCACAGTCAGAGCTCTGTCAGCCTTCTAGGCCTGTAGCCAGATGCCTGAACCCTCCCTCCAGCTCTACCCAATCTAATCCAATAGTTACCAAAATTGATCCAGGCAGATGCAAGGTCACCGGGGCCTCTCTAGCCAGACGGATGAATTCAGGCCTGGAAAACTGAGGGAACACAGCAGAGTCATTTAGGACAGAGAATACAGGCTCTGTGGGCCTGGGTCTCTGCTTTGGGACTGGGCTACCCTTATGAGCTTACTCCTCTAGCATTCCCTCCTCTGGGACCAGCAGGAAACAGATTTCATTGATATAGGACTTAACTGAATGAGGCTATAGCTCAGCTTAGAGTCATGAATATGAAGCCTCATAGGTTGGGTTAGTAGTATTGGTGAAGTTCTAGTTCTTACTTTGGGCACAAGGTGTCCACTTTATTATAAGTTATGAAAACTTGTGCCCACTTCATTATAAGTTTCATAATTCACATATAGTTACATAGTTTTTTGGTGTAAAACAATTATAAATCATATTTTAAAAGCCAAACTCACTGCCATAGAGTTGATTCTGACTCATAGCCACGCCTCCTTGGATTTCCAAGGCGGTATCCCTATGGAAGAATATTGCCCAATCTTCCTTTCAAGGAGTGGCTGGAGGGTTTGAACCGCCAGCCTTCTGCTTAGCAGTCAGATGCCTTAGGCTCTATGCCACCAGAACTCCTATAAACAACATTACACAATACAAATATATATCATATGTAAGAAAAAACTTTTGATAAACAAAAGAATTTTGGTTTGGATTAGATAAAACTTTTTGTTTTTTTTTTTTAGCTCTGGATATTGAATGAATGGTGTGCATGGGCAGCTGTTCTCAATTTCACAACGCTTCATATTTGTTTCACATTTTTGACTCAGGAAATATTTTCATACCCATTGTTACTTATACCCAACCATCTTTCTGTAAGGAGCATATTCTCGACTCATTTTACAGGTGAGAAAACAGAATCTCCAAGTGATTAAGAAACTCATCAGTGTTGTACAATCAGCAAGTGATAGAATTAGATGGAACTTCTAGTTGCCCAGGGTACCTGGGAGTGCTTTTTTCTAATCCCCCCAAGTGGCTGTTTCTGGCTGGTCCTTCAGGCCTGAGGGTGCACCCAGAGTAGACCCTGACCTCACCCCCAGCACAGACTGAGCAAGCTGGCCCCTCAGACAAGCCCAACCTGCCTTCAAGGAGTATGGATCTTATCAGCCTGGCCTTCAAGACTTGGGTTGGCTCCGGTACTCTCCAACCTCAACTCCCCCAATCATATTCTATTAGCCAACCAGAAGAGATACTCTCTCCCTCCAAACTAGCCATTCTGTCTGTCCTGTATTTGCTCCTTCATGTCCTTCTATTCAAAAGGCCTTTTCCAAGTACCTTCCACCCTGCTTGTCCACTCTCTTACATCTTACACAGGTATCCCTGTGGCCACTGCCTCACACTGCATGGTTGTGAGCTTCCTGAGGGGTGGGTTCTGCTATCTTACATCCTACACAGTGCTTATCACAGTGCCTGCCTCAGTGAGGCCACTCAATAATATCTATTGGCCTGAATTGCAAAGTATATTTTAATCAAATTCAATAAATCTCAGTCTGAACATTAAAAAAAAAAAAATCAGCAAATTTAACCCTGGAAATCTGCAATGCATTGAACATTGGAGGTATGAGAGTAAAACAATGTCCTATTTACCCTTGACCTTCTCCCCACCAAGGGGCTTGGTTTCAGAAAGTTTGTGTACAATATGCCAAGTGATGACCCAGAACATGGTATGTGACTGGCTGTACCTCAGATATCATCATCTAATCAGCCTGTGCTTTGGAGCACAAAATACTTTCCTATACATGATCTGATTTATTTCTTATAGCAGCAGCTTTGCGAGGCAAAGCAAGTGTGAAAACAGAGGCTCAGAGAAGTTAAATGAATTTTTCAAGATCCCACAGCTCTTAAGTGGGGAAACCAAGATTTAAGCCCCACACCAAAACTCCCCCACCCAATCCACATAGCTCCAAAATGAAGGACTCAGAAAGGCCACTGGCACTACTTATAAGACCATTGAACTAATCAGACTGTGAGATCATGATTGTGACCCTCCAGGATGTTGCCAGCCCTCAGAGGAGAATTGGCTGGCCAGCTGCTGGAGGTGGGTTAGCTCAGATTTTCCATCCCAGGAAGCCTTGCCCCCTGGAGAACTCTGCTTATTTCAGCTGCTGTGTAGAACCTCTTTGGGGAGTGTCCTGCCGGACCTCTTGTCTTACCTTTTCTTTTCTTTGCCGAAGACCCTTTTCCAAAGGAATGGCTGCTCGTGAGTTTTCTGCTGCCACAGAGAACGCAGATCCAGAGCTGAATTGACGACTCTCCTGAAGTTCCTCGGGGACCTCAGTGGGAAGAGTGCTGCCAATGGTAAGAGAAGGAAGAAAACAGTTAACAATGGTGGCACTTCTATTTAAGAGAAGCCTACCATATGCAGGCCCTCAGTGGGGCCGGTAATAGCTAACTTTTCATGTCATCATTAGCCCCAAAACTATGGAGGAGTTGTCATACACATTTTTGAGGAAACTGAGGCCTAGAGAAGTTAAGATTGCAAAGCCACAGGTTAGGGGTGAGGTGGCACTGAACCCAGAGGCCCCCCATACCACAGTCCACTTCCTCACCACCCTATGAATCTGCCTCTGTGCTCCTGGGTGCTAGTAACAGTCAAGTCCTGAATGATTCTTAAAGTGGATTCTGGTACCACGGGTGATTTTTACTTTCTTCCATATTTACATTGTTCAAAAATTTTATTAGAGTAAAGATAAATTATTTATGGAGTCCTTGGGTGGTACAAACATGCTCAGCTGCTACCCAAAAGGCTGTTGGCCCAAAATCACCCAGAGGAATCTTGGAAGACAGGTCTAGCAATCTACTGCTGAAAAATCAACCACTGAAAACCCTACGGAGCACTGTTCCACTCTGACACGCAGGGGACACCATGAGTTGGAAGAACTTGACTGGTTTATAGTGTTTATATGGTAAGAAAAAAAAATGCATTTACAAGGGAAAAAAACAAGTTTTTTATGGCAGGAAAAATCATTGTGAAGTAAACTTTATGACACTCAGTTAAGGCCCCTGCTGTATATTTGACATCAGGTATGACAAAACCCTAGGCTGAACCCTGGAGGAACAATATATTGTCACAGTCCTTAACAAACCAATACAAAAATGTATCCCCAAAGCTTCAAAAGGCCCATGGTTCCAGGTCCAGAAAGATTTAGGCACATGTGGTTTTGATCAGATTTAAGCAAATAAGTTATTTTGATTGCAAAAATAGTCACAATTCTTCTCCCTAATCCATGTACTTTACAATGTGAATTTGCTACTCCTCCTTTAAAGAAGTAGAGTCCATTTTCCCAGCCCTTGGATCTGGGCTGCCCTATAATTTTCTTTGAACAATAGGGTGTGGTACAAGTGGCAATGGACCACTTCTGACCCTAGATCTGAAGAGGCCCTTGTGCTTCAGTCTCTCTTGGAACTCTGCCACTGTAGGCAAACAAATCTAGAGCAGGCTGCTGGTAGAGTAGAGACTGTGCAGCAGAGTCAAGACTCCTCAGACAACAGTCAGCCAATCTCCAGAAGCAAAGCTGCCCAGCCAAGTAGCAGCTAATCACAGACAAATGAGGGTGCCCAGCCAAATCGAGAAGAACCTTCCAGTTGAGCACAGCCTGAATAATCAACCCACAGAATCATGAACAAAATAAATAACTTCCGTATTCAGCCACTGTGCTTTATTGTTATCTGTTATGCACCATTATGTGGCAAGAAATAACTGAGACAACACTGAAGCATGTTTCTGTTCTAAAATTGATCCTGAACTTGGTTCTCTAAAGGAGACAGAACTCCCTGACAGCACAATTGCCATCATGCCTTTCTCATCATTTTAGCTTTGTATCTTCTTCAATGTGGCTTCCTCATGTGCCAATGGGATAGTTGATTGTTTCCAGAGAAGCAAGGGGCTTACCATGAGTAATCAGTAGAGAAGTGTGATATGAGTGGCAACCACACCAAGATCACCATGCCTGCTGCTTACCTGTTAACAAAGGGGCTGCAGTGACTGTGTACCAAGGTGCTGGAATGGGGCTCCATGGAGCTCTGGATCTTTGTGATTCTCTCTGAAACTAACCAAAATCATGGTGGAAGATTTGAGCAGAGGCAAAGAGTATGGCTTTCCTGAATCAGGTAGCCTGGAGTGCCAAACACCAGCATCACAACCTACTAGCTATGTGACCTTGGCAAAATTACTTAACCTCTCTCTCAGCCTGCTTCCTCACACAGAATGGTGAGGAAAATGGCAGGGAGTTAGGGAGGGATTGAGGGGGAGATTAGGCCTAACAGTAAGAATATCTCTTTTTAAGATGACAAACAATAACATTAACAAAAAGAAAGAAAACTTAGACTCAGTTGAAAAGTGGTAAAAGATTTAAAGATGATTCTAAAAAGATGATTCTTAACACACCTAGAATGACAACAACAACAAAATGAATCTTATGAAATACTTTTCTTTTCGCTCCTTCTAGGAACTCTGGTAGCATAGTGCCTAAGGCACTTGACTGCTAACCAGAAGGCTGGCGGTTCAAACCCACCAGCTACTCCTCGGGAGGAAGGTTGGGCATTCCTACTTCCGTAGTGATACTGCCTCGGAAACCCAAGGAGGGGTCGCTATGAGTCGATGGCAAATAACAACAACAACAGGAACTAATTAAAAGGAATATTTTTAAAATTTGTTTTATTGACTTGGGCAGTTAGAATTCAATAAAAAAGAGTTTCATTTGTTACAAAAAACTCTGTTAAATGGTATCCCCAACGGAAGCTTTCTTCAGAATACAGATGGGTCCTAAACTCACCCCTTCTCCTCAGGGACTTCCTAGAAAAGTGTAGCTTACATGGGCTCTCTCTGCCGTCACAAGTCAGATATCTGGCCCACATGGGGCAGAAGGCAGTAGAACTGGTGCCCCTGACCACCCGGGGAATGGTGATGGTACCACACTCACTTCTGGGATGCGAAGACCAACGGGTCACAGCCTGCTGCAGTCTCTTCCTGAGCAGGTAGCTCCTGCCCTGCTGCTGTACAGGGGTGTTCTCATCCACAATGCTCCTCTCCACCTGCGTTCAAGTGCATTGGGCATTTACATTCCAAGGTCAGGAGGGGGCATTCACGTGAACACTTGCAAATTGGCTGCAGACTAAATGGATGTGGAACCCTCGGCCCTACACAATGGGAGCCTAATGAAGCATTTTCTAGCAGCCAGAACTTGCTCTGTGCCCACCCACCCACATGCACCCTAAAGCCCCTCATTCCCTGCTCTCCGCAATACCTACACACTGCAGTGCCTATGCTCATGCATACCCTATACCTAGAATTCCTTCCACTGGCTCCCACATAAGCTCCTCTGTGCCTGTTGTTGTTGTTGTTATGTGCCGTCGAGTCGGCCCCGACTCATAGCGACCCCTCCTTGGGTTTCCGAGGCAGTATCACTATGGAAGT